TGATCAAAGGGCACAGCATTTTTTTTTTTCTTTCCTTTCTCACAGTGCATCAGGGTGTTTCCTTTGAGAGGGAGCAATCACAGAGTCTAAACAGCAGCACTGTCACCTGCCGCTACAAAACTTCCATGAGGCTGGTCATGGTGATGTATGCACCTAAATCCAGCTACTCCAGAGGCTGAGAAAGAAAGATCATGATTCCGAGTTGGACTCAGCAAACTAGCAAGACCCATCTCCACAAACAAAAAACAAAGAACAAATCACCAAATTTATGTTAGGAGGAAGAAGTACTCATAATCTATTGCACAAAAGAAGACTATACTAAATAATACGTCGTTATATGTTCCAAAGGGAAGTTTCCAACTGAATATATCCTGGGAGGTGTAAATGCATTTATAGAGAGAAAAAGAGAATTTTAGTAGAACCTCAAAACCCAAAATGAATAAAATACAGAGGCCAAACAATTAAAAAGGGATGATCTTATTTGTTTTTAAAATGCAATCTAATAAGAATTTTTTAAATCCAGTACATTTTCTTTATTGTTATAATTTTTTAAAATTTAGATGACTATGTCAGAAGTATATTTCCTGGGGTCAGAAATATTTAGAATTAAGTTTTAGCTTGACTATTACTAGCTGGGTGTTACAGAAATATTAACCTATCTTCTGAGACAGCTTTTTTTATAAAACAAAATCATACACACACATAGACACACATAGGCACATACGCACATATACTGAAAGTTAAGATGAGATAATGTGGAAAAGTTACTTTCTAAATCATAGAACTCTAAGAATACGGAGAGGCAGCAGTTTAAGTAGAATTACTACAGGATTCAGATCAGAAGAGTCTATGTTAAATTCATTATGTACTAATTAGGTGACATTGGAGTTATCCTTCCTCTGTTTTAGCTGTTCTTATTTCCTAAGTGTGGACTCCAGTGAGAAGTTATAGAATTTACGCTCTAAGTTATTTTCACCATTTGTTATGTCTCAGAGTCACTCAGAAAGCTGGTAACAACATAGATCCTACCCTTGTGCTCAGAGATTCTTACCCAGCAATTCTGCAGTGGACCCTGGAATTTACATTTCTAGCAAATAACCACACGATGCTAAGATAGCTGCCCAAGGTATCTCATTTTGAAAGCAATTATTTTAAACCATGGATACATATGAGTAAGAAAAATAAATTTTTCCTTTAACTCTGTTATCACAATCATGTTATTATCTAGGTATTTTTGTCCTGTTTTTGGAGGTGTGGGAATTAAAGCTCAGATGTACTAAGCCACAGTCTCAAAGCAACCTAGTAATAAATTGTCACGGTATTATGGTGACAATGTATCACTGCTACTACAGCAGATTATCACAGACTGAGTAATTTATAAAGAATAGAAATTTATTGCCAACAGTTCTGGAGGCCAAGAAGTCCAAGATCAAGGTACTGACAGATCAGCATTTGGTGAGGGTTGTTCTTTGCTTCTCACTGGTACTTCTAGCTCCATCCTCACATGGTGTAAGGGATCAGGAAAGGATAAACTCTGTGTTCTTGCGTGGGAGCACTCTGAAACCTTTGCTATAAGGGCACTAATCCTATTCATGGCAACAAAGTCCTCATTGCCTAATCACCTCCCAAAAAACCCACCTCTTAATACTATTGCCCAAGATTCAGGTTGCAACATTTTGGAGGGACATATACATTCAAGCCACTGCAGGTATAAATTTAAATGAAATATAAATATTAAATGTATATTAAATTTAAAATTTAAATATTTTCTAGGCAAATTCATTTAATGTACTTGAAAGAAGCTGTTTTAATAATAAATGGTGACTGACACTCAGTCACAGACTCAGGGGGCAATAGGGAGTAGTGGAGATGACGGTGACCTCAAGAGCGAATCACTACGGTCGGTACAGCTACAGCCCACTGTTACCATGGAGACTATTGGGGACTGAAATTGGCCCTCTCCAAAATTCCTGTGTTGACGTTCTAATGCATAACACCTCAAAACATGACTGCATTTGGAGATAGAATCTTTGAAACGGTAATTAAGGTGTCCTTATAAGAAGAGAGATTAGGACCCACGCAGTGACTACGGGTGACCAAGTGAGGGCGTAGTGAGAAGGCCACCATCTATGACCTAAGGAAAGAAGCTTCAGATGAAACCAAACCTGTGGGCATGGTGATCTCAGACTTCTAGTCTCCAATATTGTGAGGAAATAAATTTCAGTTGTTTGAGCCACTAGCCCATGGCATTTTGTTATGGAAACCATAGCCATTGTGTGATGGTACTTTACGTTCAGATGGTTCGAGATAAGCCAGCCTTTTAGATTTATGTATAATCTTTTGATCTTTTGGCAACTAGATCAAATTTCTCTAAAACACTGTAGGACAAAACTCTGAGAGTAAAACTTTGGGTTGTTGGAAAAGTCATGACACATGTCTGCTTAGAGAAACAGAGAAAACTACATGTGACTTTTCTGGTGACCCAATAAAACAAGATTAATTTCTATGGTGTATATGAAGGTCCTAGCACATAATGACAATTGAAGAAATATTCATACAGATTGAGCATTTTCTTTTATTTTCTTTTTCTTTTTTTTTTTTTTTTTTTGAGAGGTTTTTGCTATAGGGCACGTGTGCTCACCAGACAGACAGAGACAGAGAGACAGAAAGCGAGAAATCACCCCCCAGGGGGAATGGTCACGCCGCAATCCCTTCTCCTCCATTCTCCTCTCGGGATCTTGGGCACGCACGCACACGTGCCCGGCGTGAGTTCTAAGCCACCGGGTCCAGGACTCGAACCACGGTCGACTACGTGGGAGTCCAGCGACATAGCGATTACGCTAACTGCTGGTCCCGAGATTGAGCATTTTCAATCCCAAAATCCAAAACCAAAAATGCTCTGACATCTGTATTTGCTGAGTGCTGATATAATTTCCTATGTGGAAAATTCCACACCTGACTTCATGTGGTGGTTTGCAGTAAAAAAAGAACTAAAACATAAAAATATTCTATAAAATTACCTTCAAGCTATGCACATAAGGTATGTAGGAAACATAAGTGAATTTTGTGTTTAGAATTGGTTCCCACCCTCAAGATATCTCATTATGTATATGCAAATATTCCAAAATAAAAATAATAATTCACAATCCAAAACACTTCTGGTTCTAAGCGTTATAGATAAGGGATAGTCACGCCACTTTTTTGCCTCTCAGGCAACAGCAAAATTTTGTGTCATTGTTGGAAAAATAGTCACTTATCTTGGAGAGTTTCTCTGGACTCTTGGGAATAGAAACCATTTTGACTTGTTTTGTTATCTTCCTCTTCTGTTTTTTCAATTTGGAGTTGATACTTAAAGCCACACTTGACCAGACTGAGAATAAGAAAATGCAGAAAGGAAATCAGTTTTGGTAAACTTCTGAGAAATAAAGAAAAACTTTAAAAATAAATTTCATTTTTGAGAAGCGAGACAATTTTGTTCTCCATTGAAGAGTCTGTGGTGCCTGGGTTGTCATGTCTTCTACCGAGACCTCAGCAAACACTTAGCAGAGGACACGCAGATACAAGGGTCCACTTCCGGCCATGTGTTTGCCAAGAGTCAGGCGGGATCTCATGTTCTTTTAAAAGAATGGCTTTAATAGTTGATGCGAGGAAAGCATAAAAGGCAACACACAATCTCAGAACAAATTCAGTTAATTTTACAGCCATTTTGTCTTTGAAAACAAACAGCCAACAAACAAAAAGACAAGTGAACAACTAAAAACAGCAGTAGTTCACCCTCAGAACTGCTGCTGCTCAAGGTCACGTTGCATAGTGACGAGTCTCTCCACTGTCTTGAATCTACTGCAACCTTGGAAAGGGACATCGTTCTGTTTCCTGCTGTGATGAAATCTGTTAGTGTGTGACCCACACTTTTTGGGCTCCAACAGCCAATAACAATATTCCTGTATATGTCATTATTCAATATATACATGTGTGCATCTATATTACTAAAACAAATGTTTCATGAAACACATTGAACATCTCATGAAATTTTATGATATATGTGATAGCCCATAGTATTTTCAATTCTATTTTATTTTTCAAAATACAATCACAGTCACCAAATTGATTTTATAATCCTCCAAATGGCTTGTAATCCACAATTTAAAAACTTAAGACACTAAAAATCTTAACAGCTGAAATTGAAAGAACCTAAGAAGAGTACACAATCTGGTAACTCAATTTTCTCTGCACCTATTCAAAGATGCTATTTTCAGTTTAGTAGAATATGAATTAAATGTTATGATACATTGTTAAATTTACTCAAGAAATCTTCGTTGAAAGACTACCACGTATCAGAAATGAAATGTTTTAGGTTGTTGTAGAAATGAACATAAAATTACGTATAAGAAAAGTCCCTCCATCATGGGATTTATTTCAAGTAAGGAAGCTGTTGATGACAAATGAGCATATGATATAATGGCAAGTCACATATAATATGAAGGAAGTCGAGGCTACGAGACAATGGAGAATGGCTGGAAAGACATTTTATTGTACAATATATAAGGATGCCTCAAAAGAGTTTCCAAAGAGGTAATTTTTATTTATTTTTTTTTTTGCTATAGGGAATGTGCGCTCGCCAGACAGACAGAGAGGGACAGAGAGACAGAAAGCGAGAAATCACCCCCCAGGGGGGATGGCCATGCCGCAATCCCTTCTCCTCCATTCTCCTCTCTGGATCTTGGGCACACACGCACACGTGCCCGGTGTGAATTTCAAGTCACCAGGTCCTGGACACGAACCGCGGTCAACTATATGGGAGTCCAGCAACATAGCCATTACACTAACTGCTGGTCCCCAAAAAGGTAACGTTTGAGAAAAGACCTGAATATGGGACCAGCAGTTAGCGTAATGGCTATGTTGCTGGACTCTCATGCAGTCGACCGCAATTCGAGTCCCAGACCCAGCGGCTTAGCAAAAACCTCTTCTAAAAAAAGAGACCTGAATATGTTGAAGAAAGGAGCACATGAGTATCACTTTGGTAAGTAAAGGTGAAAGCAAAAGGAACAACAATACAAAATATATGAGGCAATAGTGAGCTCGGTGCACTTAAGAGCAAAAGGAAGGCTAAGGAGCTAAAG